AACCCATTCTACTACAGCTGGGTTAACTGCTCTGAAGTAGATGTTAATTGTAGAAATTCCCTTTTATGAACAGAACTGCTATGTGAGTACTGTGGGGGTTTGGCCATTACACTGCATTGCTGCTCAGGCTCCATTCCCACAAGGGGCTGAACTGCTCTAACTGCTCACCATGACCAAAGGAGGGACCTTGGTCACCTTTTCCTACCCCCTGTTCCTCTGTTTTCCCTCAGCTTTTGCTCCTCTTCTGTTCCTTATTTCTCTTGACTTAGCAGTGATGACCCCTCAACAAGCATATTTGAATACAATACAAGAGAGGGGAAAAAATAACCACAAAAACCCCAATGACACACATCTTAAAGCATATTAATCTCAAAATTTTGTGGGGAGTATAGTCACATTCACTTGATAAATAGTTGCTTTCCCTAGAGACATTGTGTGTCTGATAGCAAGGTAAAAAACCTGATTTATTTCTTCTTTAATTTAGAGCCAGCATAAAGGAATTATATTGAGCCCAACAGGCTCAAAATTCTTCAACAGTAGGGTAGTGTCCCAATCAAAAACTTGTAAAAATAAATCCTGACACTGCTTCCAGACACTGAAAATCAGCTTTAGATACTGTAGCTCCATTGAAGTCAATATTCATCTACAACTGAGTGACAAAAAAGATATGCATAAATTCAGAGCAAGTCCATTGCTTCAATGCTACCATTTAGTACCATAACTGAGATGTTCAAACAATGCAATATTTATGTCAGAAATTTCATTTGGACAGACTTTGCTACTATTTACATTATCAGTTTTACTAAAATGAACACAGCACAGATATAACCACAGCTTAGTCTTAACACAGCAACACATGATTAGTCAAAAATCCACCCGGGAATGACTTCTGTAAAATTGGGAATACAGACTTCAGTGGTTGTCTAGGAGAAGGAGTGCTATGTTTTATAGTTTAACAGTCACTTCATCACAGTGTGACACTCATCAGACAAGGTTAAATCTCAATACAATAAGCACAGGGAAGGAGAACAGAGAGTTTCATGAGCAGCAGGAGGGCTGTTCATAGGTCCAGCACTGATGGACAAGGAAAGTTAATCATTCAGATATTAAGAAAGATTTCAGTTTAACCAGCTGCAGAGAGCTTGGCTCATTTTAAAAGGCAATTTGGTTTCACAAAACATTTCCCCCTTTTTTTACTATTATTGACAAGTATTTTGGCCTTACAGGAGTACACTTGATAATACAAATTCTATACTATGAATGAGGAATAAATAAGTTAGATCATGAAAAAAAAACCTCCAAGAAGCTTCTAACCAACACTATAACCCCTGTTTCCAACAAGAAACCGTAAGAGTCTTTTGCATAAAAATTTTCATTTCTATCTAACAAACATACCATATTTAATGTGTTTGAATTACTGTACAAACCTGTGCCATTTACAGAGAAGGGATTAACAAACAAAGTAGTACCCTAAACTCAGATACAGGAAGATACAAGGATGCTCTTTCAGTTTTTGTGCACTTCTGACAGCAGAGACAGCACTGTTTAAAGTAAATAAACACAAAAGCTATTTCTGTATAAAAATCAGGTAGCCAGGTATTTCTGAAACTAGGAACTCTGTATTGGTAAATTCTGACTTTGTATGTCAGACAAGCTTCCAAGACTGTCATTTAAAAATTATAAGGTCTAAAAGCAGAAAACATTGCCCAGTCAAATGTTTTCCCACAACTTTCCCATTTGTTTCTGTCATCTCCCCAAGTCTTAATTCCACTATCTGCACTTCCCTGCTAGGGAAGTAATTTGGCTCATTCTTCCAGCTAACAGTCCCATGCTGTCATGCCAGAAACAGATTTTTGTGTGTGCATCTGAGGAAGCAACCTGCTGAGTTCTGCTCTTCCAGAATTTGTTGATGCAATTCCTCTTAAAATTAAAAAATATTGAAAAAAATGCTGCTTGATAAGATAAAATTCTTTCTTCATGTTAAGCTCCTTTGGCTACTAAGTCAAGAGTAGCCAAATGGTACTTTAAACAGTTCTAATACACTGAAGCTAAATAAAAAACTCCTACAAGTATGAGTTAGGAAACTACAAATAGATTTTTGTTGAAAAATCTACATTATGTAAGCTTCTCTGAAACTAGTGTGACTTTAAACAAAGAAGAAACAAAAGATTAAAACTAGCAAGACTTAAAAAAAAACCAGACAAACAAAACAAAACAAAACAAAACAACCCAGAACACAGTATTTCCTAAAGTTTTAAGCACACTCAAGTCCTAAAAGAACAACATCTCAGCTGAACTGTGGGTGTGTAGGAGTTACAGTGGATTTCCATCAACTGCTTTGAGGATTGTCCTGGGCTTTACTTCATTTTCCCAAAAGTTTTACTGTAAGAAAAACATCTAGACTATTTGGAAATATTTTAACCAATTACTCAGCCAAATGCCCAAGTCCAATTCTCTGATTTTATTTCCCTGTCCACAGCTTTCAGAGGAAAAATAACCATATGCAGGGTGCACAAGGCATAATCCATATTCTCCAATAGTGCAGGTTAAAGCATCAGTCATGCACACATTCTTAACTTTAAGCTGCAAAATCAACACACAATAAGGATTGGGATATGGTCTAATGTTTCATTAGACTTCAGCAGTAGTTATTTAGTTTCCACATTCTGTACCCTCTGAGTGTGTATATGGCAGTTACCAAACACCACTTTTGTTATTCACTATTTTGTTAAAATGGCATATTGTTCATCAAATCCCTGTCTCCTCCTCTCCCTTCCTTCCTGAAAAATCTGACCTCCTCTCACATGGAAGGAACTCTGCCAGGCAGCAGAGACATCCACCCAGAAATACTCAGGAGATGCTGCCTAGGGATGCCAGCACACACGTGTCCAGGTTACTGCAGGAAAAGAATGGAAAGAACTTCCAGAGCTACAAAGCTGGGAACCCACACCCCGTTAGAAACATGTCCTTCAGAGCTGCCAACAGCCCCTCTAGTCTGGAGCTGACAGGTGTGCCAGAAGGCTTGTGAAAAGTTTAACAAATACAGACTTCAAGACTAAACACAGTTTGGCAGGAAGAGAATCCTCTCAGTGGTGTAAGGGCTCAGACTGACAGGCAGCCTCGGAGCCTGTGTGAGACCGTCCCCAGGAAACTTGTGCCTCTCTTGTTTGCAGCACAAAGCAGGGCTCCAAGGTGGTTACCATGCCCCTAAGTCCCTTTAACTAGAACAGAACACACTCCAGACCCGTGGCATTTCTCATTCAACTGAAAACAAAGAATCTGATTTTATCTAAATTAATTCCGGGGCTTCCCAGAATGAAGCAATTGTTTCTCTGAGTTACTCTATTTTAGTTAGTAGATTTATTCCCCCTAAAGCTATTTGGAAACTGGATTGCAGCATCTCTCCACTGTCAGGGTTACAAAAGAATGTCTAATCAGGCAGAGTACTGAAAGCAGAGCAGCAGCATGACCATCTCAGCTGCAGGACAAAAGAGAAGAGATGTAAGATAGGCAGGAATACTGTGTTGGAGAGCAGTTAAGAACAGAGCCCCTGGACAGCTTGTGCAGACTGGACAGTGCCAGTTTGAGACTGCATCACTACTGACCTCATTTAACTTGTCTTACAATTAGGCTGCAAAAGGAGTTAACAGGACATCTGTGTTCTTCAGGAACTGTGACTATCAGATGCCTTCAGGTTTCTAGTCCATAACTATGAGGCTATTGCCCAAATAACGTTTTACCCTAAAGATAGCATAAAAAAAAAAGGAAACCCAGAAAACTTGCCTTTTATCTCCTTTTAAAAGTACAGTTTATTAAAAAAAAAATGCACCTTGCATAATTATTTAAAAGTCTATATTAAAAAGCAAACTTGTTTTTAAATAGGTTATTTGATACCTTTAATAAAGTTGTGTTTGAATATCAACTAAGAAATGAGAACATTGATATAAGGTCACAGCCCATAAGGAGACAGAACAGCATTCAAGGGGTCTCACCTCAGGTCTCTGGCAGGATCACAAACACCTGCACATCATTGCTGACAAACATTTGTTCAACACATTCACAGAGACCTCCATCGTGGAAATTCTAAATATTATCCCATCAATATCATCTATTCTTCTTTATATCCTTACCATGAGAAGTTTTTTCTAACATCAAACCTAAGTTTCCCTTGCCTCAGTTTAAATCCATTTCTTCTCATCTGCTCCACCAGACAGAAAGAACAGCCTTCTCTTTAGCACTCTAAGTATTTGAAGATTATATCTACCTCTGCCACCAGTCTTCTAATGTTTAGAATAAAAAACCTGAATTCATTTAAACTTCCCTCAGAGGTAAGATTTTAAAATCCCCTGAAGATAATCATTGCTGGTCTGTGTTCCTCTCCAAAATGTCCACTACTTTCCTGAAAAGCAGTGCAAAAACCCCGGTGCTGCAGCCCAGATGTCAGCAGTGCTGAGCAGGAGGGAAGGGTGCAGGCTGCAAACCCCCTTAGAGACACCCTGGGAGTGAACCAAGGAGTGAACCATTCACAGGAGCACAACAGGAAACCTCAGCAGCTTCCAGCTCCAATCTCTACCAATGCAAATCTGGCAACAGAGTGGGGTTTGGGTGCAGCTTCTGTTCCAGACATTTCTGTCCCTGGAATAGAATGAACTACCTGTGAGCAACTGGGTGGTTCTCCAATCACTCCATGTCTGAGAGCTGCTCTCACTGACAAGAATTCTTTTTCCCTTGTGTGTCACATGATGAAAATGCTCCAAAGCTTCAGTAACTATGTGTGACTTACAACGCTCCATACACTTACTCAGCTAATTAACCATGATGAGCCTCTTTCAACCAAGTATAATTTATAAAAATAAAAAGAAACAACCCCCCCACACACACACAACAGAAGGCACTTATTGCCAGAACTTTATTCAGATTGCATTGCTTTACACACCTTACTCTAGTGTTTTCTACTGTTATCTTTAAGTATACAAGATCTGAATGTTTCTAGTGCTTACCTTTCTGTGTTCAATTGAAGGCTGTGGGATGACAAACTGAAATCCCAACACTGCTAGGGAACTGAGAAGTCTGAAAAGGCAAACAGTGGAACAGAACATATAAATACCACTAATACAAACTGCACATCTACAACCTATTTACAGGGTTCATACTGCAAGAAAATATTTAGATACTTGAAAACCATTAGTAAGCAAAGCAGACTCACTAAGCTATATGAAATGTCCTGATGACATTCTATTCACAGCAGACAGTACCAGGGCCATACATAGAAAGTGCACCAAGTAGAATCCATTGACAGTATTTCACATAACTCCATGTTTAAATTAAAATATTCTTGGCCGGGCATATTTTAACACCTCAGCATTCAGTGTCAGACTGACATATGCTTTGCAAGTTTTCTAAAGTGTTAAGTAAGAATTCACCCATCTGTGGACTAGCTCTGCTTCTAGCTCTGGCTCCTCGCTTTCCAGATGAACATCCCACCTCCAGCACGCAGGAAACATGGAGAAATAGGTTCTTCCCCAGCTGCCTAACACTTGTGAAAATTGAATAACCTAATGAGCACAGAAGGTGGAAAGCAGCAGACACAGCCCACCAGAGACTCAGGATAAGCAGCCAAGCATCACCCCAGTCACCACATCTTCAGTCTGAAAGAAGTCATAACGGGAACCAAGCCCAAAAAAACTCTGTTCTGTCAAGCCTCACCACCATAATGACTCCTGTGAGCCTGTTACAAGTTAGGCACAGTTAGCTCAGTCTTTTGTTTGCCATAATTTGCAATGGGGACTGGTTTGCCCCCTTCTAACAAGCCACTCCATAAGAAAACGTGGACAGATATGAGAAATAGGATCAAGGTATCTTTATTTCTACCAGGAATTTGACTTTTCAGTCTACAAAGAGTATGTTTCAGACCCTCTCTAAAGGGGAAAGCTGCTAATGATTTGCTGAATTTCAATGCAGAAGTAAAACTGATGGATTTGGACACAGAATACATCTGCAAACTAATGGACCAGACAAAATCCAGCTGTGTTTCCTACTCACAGCTCCCTCCTTTGCTCCCTACACAGTAACTCTTTAAATATTTCTCATTGTTTCAGGTATTTGCTGAGACAGACCTCCTAAACAGAAAGGGCTTTTTTTTTTAATACTAAGCACTGCATTACCACCAATACAAACATTCTTCTACTAGGGAGAACGTTTTTCTTGAGTTTTCTGTTTGTCCTTGCCAACATACTGCAAAAGGAACCAGTAGGCAAGTATTGATTGCACATGGCCTATCATCACCTCATCATCTATGGCCCTCTCTCTCAAAGCAATAAACCAATTAAAGGCAAGAAAAAGTCATTACTTCTTTACTGCCACGTCAATTTGGGGGAGGGGGGGGAAGCAGCACTTTAAAAAGTGTGTTAGAAGGAAGTATTATATTGCACAAAGCTATGATAAAACAAAATACTGAGGAGGTGGCTGAAATCAGAGCCAGCATAAGGCACTACAAAGAAATCACTCAAAACATGCAGTTCAGAGCAGGGCCCAATCACACAAGGGTAGATGGAAGCCAAAGGCACGAATGAATAAACTGATCTGCAAATCCCACCTGAAATCAAAGGAAGAATCAGAATTCAGACCTCCAAACTGCAAAATGACAGCATCAAGTCTGTCTTCAGCTTCACTTTTCCAAGTGCTCAAGTGATCTCCTCACTCCTCACAATGAAAAATGACAAGCATCTAAGTAGGTGGAGTGCAGCCTGTGACAGGCCCAGCCCACGTCCTCTGCAAATTATATTTAACTTCCTTTTCAGAATCTCCCTACCTGATCCCTGCTCCCTTATGGCTTCTACTCCCTATAATCCCTCAGAGCATGTGAAAGAAAGTTCAAACTTTGCAGAAGGAAATGAATGCTTTCACCCTCAACAGGACAGTCAGTCTGACTGACTACAGATTTCCATGTGTAAATTCTTCTGAAATCATGCACAAGGTTGTGAGTTCTGAACTGAATGAGAGCTGTAATCTTCAAAGCAAATTACTTACCAGATTAAAGTTCTCAGTTCTAAAATGCAAACTTGTAGTGTATGTGTGATTACTCTGTGCCAAGCCTCTCCTGGCCATTCTTTAAGGAATAACCAACCCTCTGTATGTTTGTGGCTCAAGGACAATAAAGCTATTTTTTAAATTTGCTTCTGTATCTGCAGTTGGATCTGCCAGAAACAATGGTATCAACCTACTATTCCAAACACACAGGAAATTTGCCAGGAATACTTAAGCTATCCTGAGGCAAGCCTTTAGCTTAAATCAGTGTGTGGCAATTTAAGTTTTTTAATGTTATTTCCCTCAGCAGCTTGCTTTGGCTAACTTCTCCACACTAGGCCTTTTTATTTGTCATGCTTGACTAACCTCAGGCCTCCCAGGCTACAAGAATAGGCTTCTCCAATTTCAGTGGGTTTGATTCAGGTATTCTTACAATGCAAAAAAGCCAAAAAGAACAAGTGCTCCTCAAAACAAGGCAAAACTTTCCAAGTACCCAGGAACAGGTGAGGTACCAATTGCAGCTGATCCATGGCTGTGTAACTCAGGCCTCTGTAAGAACCCTCTGTAAGAACATAAGGCACTTGGGAGCCAAGTACCTGATTTGAAGCAAAGTCAGGCTTTAAACTGTCCATCTATCCAAGTTACAAAGAGCAAACTTGCTCACTTTCTTTTATTGGCAATGCCAATTTCTCTTTAACTGGGGGAGAGGGGGAGGCAAAAAGCACAAAGCAAAACAATATTAGGTCTACTGTAGGAGCAGCAAGAAAAAGTTTGCTAATTAACACCTCATTTAGGAACACCTCATTGAGAAACACCTCTCAGAGTTCTTCCTTGTCACTGCAGTGAGTATTAGCTCTGCAGGAATGAAGCTGGAGGTACCAAAACAGATCTCTCACCTGGTTGCTGTTCTTTAGTAGTTGTATTTTATGAAGGAACATAATGGCCAACTGTGGATTGTTCAGATACAAGTGAAAGCATTTTAGCCAAGTGATTGGTACTGACTATTGCAGGATGGCTCTTGTCCCATATTCCCAACTTCCTCCCAAGTCTGCAGAGCAGCCTAAGTCTGGGACAGCTTGGGAGGAGCTACACAGGGTGAAATTTCAACAGCAAAGATAACACGTGACAGATCCATTTTGATGTGGAATCTGCCCTGGCATATTAGGAGGGGGCCAAAATTGCAATTCAAAGATTGCTGTCCCAAACTCACAAGGAGCAAGGTTAGAGCTGAGGTGTTACTGACAGTGTCCCCATCCAAATGCAAGAGCAGGGAGCTGTCATTCCTCGGAGGAGGCCACCTTTTGTTTGTGGAGCCTGCCTGCTCTGAATCTGCTTGCCCAACTACAGAACCGGCCAGACCAGCTTAGAAACAGCTGAATGTTTCCTTTGTTAGGAAAGCTGTTTGAAAGGTCTTTCCTATGTTTGCCCACTGGCAAACTGTTTCAGGAATGCATAATACAAATCCCTGAATGAATTGCAGCACAGGTACTAAAATGTATAAAACAGTAATTTAAGCCCAGTGATTGTAGTTGTGCAGCCTCATCAAAAAAACAGGCACTTTCCACTAATATTTGCCATCACATTGGCACTCATAAAGAGATGCTCTAAGCATAAACAATCACTGAGAACTTTCTTCTTTCACTATCACCAAAGAATGCTATGTCTGGTATGCATATACTTGAGTATTTGATCCTGGGACAAGATTTTTATTTATCCTCCGATGACGCAGACAATTTAACACCCGAGCAAAAGATAACCAAACTGATATTTATTGCAGTGTGTTAAGAGAACATTAAATAAGATTTTAAATGTTTTATTGCATCACTTACCTCAAAGAAACTATTAAACTGTCTACCATGATCCTTTAATGCAAGGTATCTTGAAGTGAAAAATACCTCTTCACTGTGGTACAGCACAATGCTGATCACACACAAATCCTACAGAAAGGAAGGAGAAACACATTTAAGACTGCTTATTCAGTATTTTCCAGGATATCTACAAAAATGTCTACAGACCTACATTAGTCATCTCTACTTCAATTCTTGGGACTTTACAGCAATTCAAACTGAAAGTCCAGTGTATGTTACATGAACAAACTGTATGCACCCCATTTTTTGCAACAGAACTTCAACGTTGCCAAAGTGCTTTCCAAAAAGACTATGGGACTCCAAATCTTGATTTGATTCCCAAGGATGCATATCTGGTGTTAAACTTACTTGCCTTTTCATTCCTGGTATGTCACTTGTATGACAATAAAACAAACAGCTTTATTTGAAGTCTTGTGTTAATAGAATTCATTGAACTGAAACTGGGTTACCAATTTTTAATGTTCAGTAATATTATTAATACATCTCTCTTTGTGAGCAATGCCAGGATGATTCTTCTGTCAGTGCTCATACTCTTTGCAGAAAAAAAACCAGAAGAGCAGTGCTGTTCCCTCTAGTACAGATGGCAAAGCCACCCACAATGAAATTAAATGCCTTGCCCACAGTCATAGAGGAAATCTGGGGTTAAACAGTATTCTGAATATAAATTCAGCTGATCCTTATTTATAAGTACTATCATTGCATTGTTTGTAAATAATTTTTCAGACATCTGGGAATTTTTTATTTTAGTAAATTTGTAATCATATATTGGACACCTAACACACACCAGAATTTTCAGGTAGGAAAGAGATCCCTGAAGTAAGGAAATACAATGTAAATCAGGAGGGCAGGGGGAGAGTGGCAAGGAGAGAGGAAAAGAGGAAATAAAACACTAACAGAACTGAACTTAAATCCATACATTTCAGGATTTCGTCAGCTGTTGTCTGTATCTTGCTACTTACAAGTGGTTATATGTTGAAATGCAGTGGAGTGAACAGAAACAAGAGAACATTGCTGTTCACAGATAAAGAGCTCTCCATTTCTGCCAGGCAGCCAGATAAAAATCTACCTAAAACAGGACAATACTGACAAGAACTTAAGAAATGTGCAGTTAAATAACATACAGATCCCACTGCTAGAAAAATGTGGATTGTTTGCAGGTAACTGGACAAGTTAAATGTTCCCTGCCCACCCCTAAAAGCTGAAGAAAAACAAATTTGGTTTAGGAAATCACCAAATACTTGCAACAGCTTCAAAAGAACTTTTTTTTATTTTTTTTTTTATTTTTAATTCTTGAATTGTTTAGTTTGTTAAATGCAAGGCATTAAAAGTTGAAAACTTAGGGAAGTGTCACGACAAAAGTTCTGCGTGCAACAGGTCTGAGTCAGTCCCGAGGATGAAAGCACTGAGGCTCAGCTAAACCTCATCCTCTCCTCCCGCAGTTTCCCGGCTGCCAGCAGATCTAGGAGGCTTTCTCACACTTATTCACCGTTTTCACCACTTAACACTGTAAAATCGTTTTTTATGAGATGGGCAGCACTTCTGAAAACCAATTTTTAGGCTGGATCTTCTGCAACACTTTGCACCATTTGAGATTTTAGCACCTAGGTTCAGTAAAAGCTCCATTCCTTTAAACCTTAGGCAAGTCCACACCTACAGCACCAATACAAGGCATTTAGACAGATCCCCTCAGACAGTACTTACTAACCTTATGAACTGAGGAGGAAACAAATGTCTCACTGCTACAACCTCACTCTTAATTACCAGGCATATTGATGCAATAGTCTTTTATATCACTTATTGGAAATGGAGGATCTGCCTGTAACATAGATTGTAACCAACAGGGCTTCAAGTTCTTATCAGCTTGAGTTTTTTCCAGATGTGTTCTCCTTAGTATTTTTCACTGCACAATGAGCTATTTATCCAATATCCTTGTGTGGAGGGAATCTCAGCAGAACACTGCTACAGGATACAAACACACAGGAAAAGCAACCTGCACTCCCTTAATCCCCTTTGCAAATTGCACTTCATCTGAAAAGCAGATAAGATGCTATGATAGATCTGGTTTTGCAAACAAGCAGGAGAGGGACCTCCAGTGTCCCTCTGGAGATTGTTCTTAAAAAGAGTACTTAAAGTCCATGGATATGTTTGCAATTTTTTCAGTTCATCTCTTTCTTCATTGTCAATGGCAGGCTGCATTACAAACTCAACTTTCAGCTATATTTCAGTGCCTTTTTCCAAGCACTTCTTACTGCAACTCATAGATGCGTTTCTTTTGAAGGATCATTTGAAGTACAGGGTGTAAAAACTGCTAAATATTTAAGTGACTTAAGAGCTTGTTTTCAAAATGATCTAAGTGCTTAGGTGCTTTCAGCCTATTGAAAGGAATGTCATTTTGGCAGTGGTGTCTTTGATATGAAAATGTGCAAACCTGACAGTCGTTTTCCCTTCAGAAGATCCAGGGCAAAATGAACACGTGAAACGGCTCCACAGTTAACACCGGGATTGAATAACATGGATCTGGCAGGGAAATTTCTAGAAGCCTGATGAGGTGTCCTTGTGTTAGTTACTGCAGAAAGTCTTGGAATGTGAAAGTCAAATTACCTTCCCACAAGGGGCTGAAAGCATTACAGAACCATCTAGCAAAAGACTTTCTAGTAACCCTACTTACGGCAGGAGAGATACAGATTTCTCAGCTGGAACAACCCACACTCTTGTACTTCACAGAGTTAGCAAGACCTTCTCCACTGCACTAAAATATTTCACATTTCAGCAGTCTTCCCTATTTCATCTCCAAGTGGGATGAAAAAAATCTGTGAAATTGGGTAGGGGGAAAAAGAACCTCAAAACACAAAACCACACACTCCCCAGAAAACCCAATCAAAGAAACCAACCAACCCACCACACAGGATGGGAAAGAATTCAAACCTTCTCTCCAAAACAACCATGGTGTGACAATCAAAGGGAGAGGTGTTTCACTGCATATAATAGAACGTGCATCAGGTCACAGAAAATGAGATGAACAAAAGGACCCTGCCTAAAGTCTCCTCCCCCTTCTCACAGAGTTCCCTCTTCCAATCACACACTGCAGCCCTTTGTCAGCAGGGCTCAGATAAACGTCTAGGTGACCTTAGAAAATAAAAATACTAATTAGTAATGCGGATTTTAAAAAGAGGCAGAGATGGATAACGGCAGTAACCCCAAAAAATAACCTAGTAGGCTCATAGGCAATCTCAGAAATTTGCTGACATGGACAAAAAGAGATTTCTCAAAGAGGTAAATGATGCAATACACTGAATTAGCTGGAAAGACACCACAAACACTGTTATGAAAGTTATGAAAAGAGGAAGAAAGTCTTCTGGGAAGCCAATGGTAACATTTCACCCTTTCTCGAATTATCTTCAAGAAACGTCTTCGAACAAAGAGGTTTGAAATTTTGCAGAAAGCCCATGAATTAGTTACCCCAAACTCTTAATTATCACGGGACTCCTGACACGCAGGTTTTCATGTGACTGTACCCTTTGTGTATTGTGAGTGGGCGGTATTTCACTTCCACGAATTCCAACGTCATTTTAGCATCACCCTTGTAAGTCCTGTCAACTCACATATATCCATATACATCTGTGCATTAACTATAACAGATATTTCTTAGCCTGAATGTGTACAGTACCTACTTAAACAATCTGAGACCCTCTATTTTAACTCACAACAAGGATGTGAGATACACTATGTAGAAACATACACTAATTCAACCAAGTTTAAAGTGTTCTGAGCTTTTAGCCTATTTTACCTTGCTAACTTATATCAAGCCTTCCTTCAATATTTATCATTCTGGTTAGATTATGTATTTTGCCAGCTACTGACAATGGCAACTAAAGTAGCTACAAAACTTGAGCATTGTTCCAAAGGCACATTTCCACTGATGTGAAAAGCTCTCTTTTTGGAGTATTTAGTGGGGGGGGAAATAATAAATAAAGAATATTTAGAAATATTTTTTAAAAAATATGACAGCCTTTAAGACTGCCTTTGAGTTTGTTGCCTAGTATGTTGGTACAGTTTATCTGTTAGTTTAGTTATTCACATCTATTAAATCATGTTCAGTGCAAGTCCTCTGGATTGCATCCAAAATTCATTACATTCACAAGACTTTGATAAAGCACTCGCAGTGCGCCAGGTTTATCTGGCTACATAATTTGTGCACACATCCAGCAGCTTGAACTGCAGCTGTTGACACCTACCCCCAGAGTTCTAATCTCTTCAAATGTTCAGTAACTACAGTAAAACATACACTTGTCTCTGGAAGGTGCATAACAGAGAAATCTAGCACTGTATCTGATGAAAAGTTCTGATGCTTACAATGGAGCAAGCCTTTTATTAAACCAGAAATTGCAAGTTACCCCACCTAACCCTGAAGGTGCCTTTCTGTTTCATTTTAAACGCTTTGAAAACTTCCAAGTTCTCCTTCTGGGTGTGTCCAGAACTACTGCAGTCCAAGAAAGCTCAGTGCCTGTCTCCAATCTAAGCTTGACTGAGCTCCAGAAGTTTTCGTTCCTTTGCCTAAAACACACATGGTGCAGTAATTGTCCTCCAGGATATACACAGAGTGATGATCAAGCCTCTTACATTCACAAATGCAACTAATTGGCTCTCCAAGTGGCCTGTGGAACCATCCCCTTTGGCATCCCGGGCCGTGACTCACCTGCTGTGACTCACTGCTCTTGGGGTGGGGGAGACACTCCCTGGGACCTCGGGGCCACCCCTCACCCCCTGCTGATCTGGGCCAAGGTGCCACCACCTCTGCAAAGCTCTGCTCCCACACAGGAGCGCCAAAGACCCCAAATAAAACAATTACTGTGAGGTTCGGGGCCATCCTGGCGCAGTCTTGAAATTCTGGTCCAGTTCCTAGAGCTCAATTCAGCAAACGGTCCGTGGTAAAACCGTGTTACCTGCTTATCTGGCATCCAATTCTATAACATTTAATCGTCCTCTGAAAATCTAGGAGACAAAGTTGGTGAAATGCCACAGTGATCATACACCACATTTCCCAAAATATCCATTCACAAAATGCAAAT